CTTAGAGTCTTTAAAGTTTCTTAACAAATATTTGACTAGGGTGAGTAGCCTAATTTGCATTATTACGTATTCTGTTGCAAAAAAAACTGATAATATTTCATTGGAAGGTCTGCAAATTTGCGAATTTTAGTGTATAATGATTTATTATATCATGATGAATGTTATTTGAGCAGATACAGCGACTAAAAACATCAAATGTATGCGAGTATGGGGAGTACGCATGCGCAGTTACAAGAGTGACGCAGCCATTTTTTTAGTTTGACGAAAAAGCAGTACCCTTTCCGATTTTCATGAACGCAAGTTCAATTTCACTTTGTGCATCATATTCATCAATGGACAAAATCGAAGACAGATGCCGTACAACTTTCTGCCAATCTTGATTCGTAAATGTGCTGGTTACATGTACAGTGTTCTCCTCGGGCCTGCGTCGCTTAGACAATAGCTGCGTAACTTTCGTTTCGCCCGCGATTCTGCTGTGTTCTCATCAGGTCTTTTAAGGGTATCGGGTCTGATACTGTTCTTTCTTTCCACGATACTGTTTCCCTCAAGCTGGGCCGTTTCCAGGCCATTGTTTTGCAATGATGAATCAGAACAGAACAATTCATGTGAACTGATCGATCCTAACTTATTATCTGGATACTCGTATTCACCTGCGGATACTTCGGCCTACTTTCAAGCATGAATATAGAAGGAAATCAACAATTTTTTTTCAGTATCGTTCCAGACTTTGCAAGAAATTTATATAATAATCACAGTGATCACTACTATTGGGTTCATGTTAGGTTCATGACACTAATTACCAAGATTTATTAAAAAAAACAAGTGAAATTAAGTCGCATTGGGGAAAAAAAAACTAAGAAAATCAAAGCAAAAATCAACTGCAGACAAGACAAACCCCGACCTCTAGAAATACCTCATTCATAGAGTGCCTCATTAGTGCCCTTTGTTTCAAAGTTAGTGTCCTTGCATGTTTTTCAAAATTCATATATCAAAATCATGTGTTTCCATATACAGTATGTCATAGATTCTCAGACATCTTGATCAATTTTATTGATGGATTGACCTACATGCAATTACATTCACTTATTAGGCAAAGCCTATACTTTTATAATACATGCTCTGATCACACGGGAGCTATTTACAGTTTAACTTTCATTATTTTTATTTATTTATTTCAGGCAAATGAGTCCATATCAAAAAAAAAATAATAGTAAATAAATACTAGAATGAATAAGAAATATTTCAACACTGAGGGCATAGTTCATTGAGTTGACTTGCCTCAACACCTAACATGAAAAATACCCCAAACAAAATCTCTCCCTTTAAATTTTATAAATTTAGGAGTTTTGTCCAATATGATTTATATAACAATGCTAATATAATCATTCCTTGTTTTAAACACTATATTTTATATAATATATATATATATCAATAGATTTAGTAGTATATAAAACCAAGATATTGTAAAAGACACAAAGGTACATAGAACCATTTTCTGTCACGATATTTGAACTACTTTTGATTTATGGTCCAATACAGTGTGCACCCTGGGGTTTACTTTCAACCATAGTCACCTGAACCAGTATGTGTGTTGTAAAACAGCTATACTGAGTTAAATGTTTTTTTCATACATGATAAGTGTAATTGGTACAGACATCAACCTTTGACCTCAAATTATTGAACTGACTAACAGGGGATCGTATGTAGGGGTGTATTTTAAGGCACATGCCAAAGGTATATTTCCATGTGTTTACACTTTATTGTACTTGATGAGAATCCCACTCGGGATAGCATGTCAATAAAGTAATTATTATTATTATTATTATTATTATTATTATTATTATTATTATTATTATTATTATTATTATTATTATTTTATGACATAGAGGTACATGTACCTCCTTCATTTTTACATTGCATCATTTTGAATTATATGCTACTTATATGTGTTCTGTTAAACACTTGTATGTACAATTGAATACAATATAAATAAAATTAATATGATATAATATTTCATAGGACACTGACCTTAGAGGAGTGTAATACAAACTCTAATTACATATTGCATGCCATTGTGTGTGTTCATCTTTCTCTCTCTCTCCACAATCCTGTTATATGTGGAGACACTTGGCTGGATTATTATAGCTTAAAAAATCACTATGGCTTCCATGTAATTGTGAAGTATGTAAATCTAAGCAGTAAAATTCGGGTATTCAATTTTTAAAAATATTATCAAAATTTGTCTTGTTTATTGATTTTAACGCATATCATCAACTTTTCAGATTGTTTTCACAAAGTACAAAATAATTTACATTTTTAGAATGATTTCCATAGGAAGCATTTTATTATAAATACATTTAGTATTTTATCAGAATTTTTAAATAATTCATGATAACCACAAGTATTCACATTCTTAAACTACTTGATTATTTCCTCTTATGTGATGAAATGAAAATTTGAGATGTGATGAAAATGTATTGTCTCTGGGGGACATTAAGAACTAGGTCCTATTGGAGAAGGAACAATAAGCATGAATCCAAAAGGAAATGAAAATTTGAGACATGGTGAAAATCTGTTGTCTCGGGGACATTAAGAACGATGTTCTACTTTTACAATAAGCAGGAGTTTGAAACAAAAGTACTACATTTAATCCCTTAATTCAAGGTAACAACATATAACACCCAGGATATGAAAGCCATATTTTCTCGCAGGTGATAATGTTTTTTCTATTTGGTGTTCTAAGTGTTATCTGCATCTTGTAAATTGTTAATGAAGAAGCTATTACTAAAGGGTATGTCTGGGGAATGAGTCATTATAAATGATTGAAGTATTCATGGGTTTCTTAGGGTTATTAATATAACTAAATCAAATATTGACCTCTGTGACCGACGCACACAATTTCAGTTTATTGAATATTACTTCGTCATATACGGATATCAATTTCTCTTTCTCTGTATTCTCATACTGGTCACATTTGCATGTATGACTGTCTCATTATTATATCATCAGTATTATGGAGATATGAAATATTCAATGATTGCCCACCGACAATTAGTTTGACATGTAGGCGTGAGTTGGTCCTCGCCAGCTGAACAGCATCAGACCTGACAGAATAGTGTATGTCTCGTCGGCAAGATCAATACTGTGAATTCCCAAAGTTCATGCCTTCTTGCAATGACTTATGATGAATATTCATTTTGGTGGTCATGTTAACACCGTCAATCAAAGCTGTGTTTGCATTGTCGGCAAAAATCACAAACTGTTTTCAACAAGATGATAAATATTGCCCGGAAATAAACTCTGCCATGAATGGTTACTTTTTGATGGCTGTCACTATATGACGTTCCTGCAATTTGATTGGTACCGACAAAAAATCGTTGGGGAAACAAAAACTACATCGTTCTGTCAGGTGTGTGTTGGTTTGGAGCAACGTAAAGGGTGCAATTCACACGACCTTGTCAGGCTAACCTACCATTAACACACAATTTTATCCGGCCTACTGAATACAGGATAGTTACATACAGCAGTGACATTCAGATTTTCAACATACTTGCACTTATAGTTAAAAAAAAAAAGTTATGGCGGTCACTGCTACTTTTCACACCACTCATAATGTAATGATAAAAATTAGGAAAAAAACGCTGAGGAAATATAATGTTTGGTTTGCTAGCGAATGAGAACTTATTTGGGAATAATTGCACATGCGCATGATTGAATGAACTATGACCCATACAATCTCGATTTGCATATTGTCAA